GTGATACTTGTAACAAAGACACACCTCGCAACCTTACGTAGCGGCTTGCTGGCGGAGGAGGCACAGGCGGGCAGGCGGGTGGTGGCGCGTGGGCAAAATCTAAAATAGCATCTCGGGCGGACACCGTATATGTGGAAAAATCCGTGTTAAGTGAAAGTTCAACTCTGGCAAGGCACGTATATGCCAGCGTTAAGTGAACACCGTTGGTGAGGTAATACTGTATATATATGTATGTATATGTATATGTTTTTATATGTATATATATATGTATATGTATATGTATATATATATATATATATATATATATATATATATATATATATATATATATATATATATATATATATATATATATATATATATATATATATATATATATAATATATACAGTACAGTCAACCCTCACTTTACGCGGTTAATGTAACCCGCAGGGTCCCGCAGAAAGTGAGGAACGCGTAAAGTAAATAACATAACATATGGGATTAATTGAAATAGAGTCCGGGCCGACCCCCAAACTCCACTTTTTGACGACACACAACTATGTTGTAGTAAAAATTTTATCTTAACTTTATGATGGTATGAAAAAACAAGTAATATAGAAGAGGTTAGGTTAGGAAAAATAAAGGTTAACATAGGAAAAATAAAGGTTAGGCTAGGAAAACTAAAAGTTAGGTGGAACACTTACGTTAGTAGAAGAGATGGGTCGGCGTACGGGGATGGAGGCTGGTTCCGAGGCAGAGGGCAGGCTACTGGCCCTCAGGTGAATCACCATTACTAGGTGCATCACCATCACTGTCACTTACAGTTGTCAGGGCTTCCCTGACAAATCCCTCAAAGTCATCTTCACTGTCACTATCACTGGCTTGGGCTGGCTATGGTGGGTTGCGGGCGAAGAAATCTGTTATGCTTTGCTGACGGCTGGTGTTGATGTTGTCGTGATACACCTTGATGTAGGGCTCCATAGTCTGCAACAGCTGGGTAGTGAAGATTTCATACCTTTTTGCGTCAGGGTCGTCAGAAAGGAGGAGCTTGGCTTTCTCGATACACTCGATGGCACCCCTAACATTACTATGGGATAAGTGTTGTTCTTCTTGGGATGACGCACCACCTGCCTCTTCACTAACGTCGTCATCATCATGTACCATCTCCTCGGTAGTCACATCAGGTTCCATTATCACCTCCATGATGTCGTCGTTGGTGGTCTCGGAGAAGCCTGGAACTGTAACACTCTGCGCAGCTTCTCTGGTAAGGTCCACTGCTACTGCAACAGTCTGAACCTCACCAGTCACAGATTGACTCCTCCTCTCACCTGGTATTCCATGCAACACATGTCTCCATGCGTGACGAATTGTAGCAATAGACAGCTGATCCCATGACTCCACCAAGAAGTCCACAGCTTTCTTGATGTTAAATACTCTCCAGAATTGTTTGAACAGTATTTTTTGCTGTGCCAACTGTTGATCCTCATCTTCTTCGCTCTTGCTATCGGTGGTGGTGTCACTCAGGTTACGCAACTCTTCCCTGGTGTTGGTGTAGTCGTTCAGGAGTTTGAATTTTTTCGAAGAGAATGCAGCTTTTACATTACAGATTAACTCTTGGTCCATGGGCTGTAATATAGACGTAGTGTTGGGAGGAAGGAAGACCACTTTTACGTTGGGGTGACGATCTAACAGTAGGGGCGAGTGTCCTGGTGCGTTGTCCAGCAGCAACAAAATCTTGAATGGCACATTCTGTCGCTCACAGAATTTCTTTACATCGGGAACAAAACAGTCATCAAACCAGGAGAGGGACAGTGTAGAGAATATCCATGCCTTACGTGCGGTCAGCCAGTGGACATATAGCTTGGTCATGTCCATGGTTTTGTAGGCGTGCGGCTTGCGTGCTGTGTGGATCACCGATAACTTGAGCTTACAGGTACCGGAGGCATTGGTGGTAAACAGGATGGTGATGCGTTCCTTCTGCATCTTCCGGCCCCGAATCTTGTTGGCATTTTTTACAACGAAGGACTTGGAAGGTAGGTTTTTCCAGAAAAGACCAGATTCATCCATGTTAAACACCTGGTCGTCACTGTACTGTCCTTCCTCCATAATCTCACGTAAAAACGGAGGAAATTCCCTAGCCGCAGCACGGTCAGCACTCGCTTCTTCACCACCAATGTTTATATTGGTGATCTTGTTCCGGATCTTAAAACTCTGTAACCACCCAGAGGAAGCATTAAAGGGTTTGGGCTCTGTAATTCCCATCTTTCGTGCCACTGCAATGTACAGTTCACGTGCGTACTCCTTAACAGAGTGGGTGTCGACCGCCATGTTCCGTCGCGCCTGACGCACCAAGTACCTCACAAGTAATTTTTCTGTCTTGAGAAGCACCTGGTTGTGAAAATACTTGATCATAGAAGCACCTGTAGACTTTGTGATCTTCATGTGCTCCTTTATCTTGGCTGCATCCTTCTTTATTGTTCGAATCGTAGATTGATTCACACCATGCTGGCGCGCCAAATCAACCTGCCTTGTTCCTTTCTCCAACTCTTGGTTGATGGTATACTTCACCTCGTAGCTTAAGGAACGTCGTGTCTTCTTTGGCTTAGTGCCGCTGGGTCCAGGTAAGGAAAGGTTTCTCTCTGGGGGCGGTGGTCCGGCGGAAGCCATTTTACAGAACAATGGATACACGTTTACATGGTCTGGCGTGGAGGGATGAAACTGGCGTGGCTAGGTCAAGCATCGTCTTTCCTCCCTCCCTCCCTCCCCCGGGTGGACACGTCATAATACTTTAAGCCAATTACAGTTAGCAGCAGAGGGGGGTAGGGATGCATGGCCAATCACAATCTGATTCGTCATATGACTTCAGTGATAACGCAACAAAGACACACACTGCGCAACCTTACCGCGCGGCTTGCCCAAGCGGAGGGAGGAGGAGGGAGAGGCGAGGAGCACAGGCAGGCAGGCGGGTGGGGTGAATCTAAAAATAGCGTCGCGCCGGACACACTCCGCGTAATGGGGTTCACGCACCGCGTAATGTGAGCACGTTTGGTTCTGGCAAGGCAGCGCGTTAACGTGGGAACGTGGAATGTGGGACCGCGTAAAGTGAGGGTTGACTGTATAATTTTTTTTTTTTTTCCCAATTATACACGTGCAAGTAATGCATACCATGATATGTGTGGCCATCCATCTCCCTCTTCTCATGTTTGTTCACAAAACTGTTCGGGCTTCCTCCTTGGGTTTTCTAATTACCCTCAGCATGCAGGCCAGAGTTAGGTTTTTCTCTTCATAACTCTATTTTATTCATGTCCTCAGTAGCGGGTTTAGCCTTTCCAGGCAAACTTTAGCGAGGCTGCTAGTTTTAGTGATCCTTTTGGACGCTGATCTTCCAGTCTTACTAGCAATCTAGAGTTATGTTAAGATGGACCTTGTATCCTTAGTAAGGGTAATATGAGAACCATTCAGGGTGGATTTCTCAACCCAATACATCTTGCTAGAGTAATGGTAAACGATGTTAGCCAATTGAGCGCTATGGTAGCAGCTCAGCACTGTCAACCCCTCTGGGTGACTTGATGCTCACTCAGGCATTATCGCTCGAGCTAATTAATTGAAGCGATGATGTCTGTGCACCCTCATTGGCAACAAATAGAGAACTTGGTGATCCCTCAAAATATAAGTGCTCTAAAATGAAGTTAGCTTGATTAAGAAACAAAGATCATTGAGCTGAGGGATAATTGAGATAAGAGAAGGGAGAGGTGTATGATATAGTGAGTTAGTTGTTTATGAATGTCACACTGGTGACTTATATAACAATAAGAGATATTAAATGAAATAACTTACTAAAATATCACAGTTACGAGTCATATTGATTTTGTTTGGGAGAAAATGTAATCTCCCTTGTACAGGTTGTACCTCTCTAGTCCGGCAACCTCGGGACCTGACCGGTGCCGGACCATGGAAATTGCCGGACCATGGAAATTCACCCTTTTCCTGGATAGATAGTGACTTGTGCTTATGCTTGGAAGCACTAGCACCACTTTCTCTGCATCATGGTCTCTTTGAAGACATATTGAAGGGTTAAATGTCGTATAGTAGCTTCTCAAATTTCGCGAGTTTTTAATTCTTAACGTCTTCTCAAATTTCGCGAGTTTCTAATTCATAACGTATTTTATTGGAACACACAAAAAAATAAATAAATAAAAATTTTGACGGCGGAAACTTGAATTTCGACGGGTTTGAACGGCCTGCCAACGTGCAGACGACGTGCATAATCGTGTAAACAGCGTCATTTCTCTTATGTACAAAAGATTCATTATTGTTTATTACTGAATGTCTT